ACGACTGCTTGGTCTTCTGACCCTGCAGCACAGGCTTCTGCGGTTTGGCCCGCAGCGCCACCACGTCCCCAGCATAGAGGGGTTAAAAAACCCAGAAGTGGCTACATTTGCAGAGGACCTAGAAGCAGCTCAGAAAAGGTTATGAAATGACTGGAGCAGCATTATGTCCCAAAACAATTCATTTTTCCAGCTCCTGGCCCCTACCAAATAAGGAGGATTAGGGGGCTGTAAGTGTAAACCAAGCCTTATGAGGAAAGACGGAAAGAATTGGGCATGTTTAGCCTTGAGAAAAGAAGACCGAGGGGAGGTAGGAGACCACTTTTCAAATATTTGAAAGGCTGTCCTACAGAGGAGGGGCAGGATCTGTTCTCAATCATCCCATAGTACAGGACATGGAACAATGGGCTCAAGTTAAAGGAAGCCAGATTTAGGCTGAGTATCAAGAGAAACTTCTCAACTGTTAGAGCAGTACGACTGTGGAACCCATGACCTTGAGAGGTGGTGAGCGCTCCAACCCTGGAGGCCTTCAAGAAAAACTTGGATCATCCCCTGGCAGATATGCCTTGATTGGATTCCTGTACTGAGCAGGGGGGTTGGACTGGATGGCCTTAAGACGCCCCTTCCAACTTCACTTTTCTATGCTTCTGTGATTCTATGAAAACCTTTTGGGACAGGTCAGGAGATGCCCTGTGGGGTGGGGGTTAAGGACCCTTTCTCTTGCAGAATCTTTTCCCCACTCCATCCCTTCTTGGGGGGGGGTCTCAGACCCACTCATGGTGATTTTCCTTTCTGTTTTTCATTAAATGCCCTTTACCAGATTCCAGTGCTGGTGGTTTAAGGAGCCTCATCCTTGGGAATCCTCTTTTTCCCTTCCACCAAGACAGATTATTATCTTCCACACCCTGACTTGGGAACTTAAGTTCTGTATCTCATAGTTGCTCCTCAGCGTGGCTCTGTGAAGTCTCTAAGTGGCCCTCCAGCTACACTCCGAATTGGAAATGCAAACCTTGAAAAGATCGGTCCGGCAATTATATCAAGAGCTTTGCTCTTCTAAATTCAACAAGCCAGGGACTAAATACCCTTGTGGCTGATTCAAGGAACACAAAGCCAAACATCCTGGCTGATTTATCCTCCTTCCACACCTCCGAAAAATCAGCAGTTGCTTCTGTGAGGATGATTTTCAAGTTCGACAACCTCATCTTTTGACACTATCTTTTCCATGGTGTTGTTAAAAAATAGGGTTCTGGTGACTGCTACATTAGCAGTTTGGTGAGCAACCCAAACCAGCAGAAAGATAAGTTATTCTTGAACAGAATTTAATTATACAAACTTTAAAAAACTTTCCCAAATCTCTTTCATTTGGGCTCTTAGTTGTTGGAATGTTTGCAACCTTGCAAGCTGCCTTTAGTACAGTGGTCCCTAACCTTGGGCCTCCAGATGTTCTTGGACTTCAACTCCCAGAAATCCTGGCCAGCAGAGATGGTGGTGAAGGTTTCTGGGACTTGTAGTCCAAGAACACCTGGAAGCCCCAAGGGTTGGGGACCACTGCTTTAGTAGGTTTGCCTGGGAGGGACTGTCAACAGCACTTTCCCTGCCCCTAAATTCAAAGGGAGCTGTGTGTCTCTTTCTGTGTCTTTACTCTTGTTGAGGTCTGTTGTTGAAAGCAGTCATGTTTAACAGTTTGCTGTTTGATCTCTTCATAACTGTAAGTAAAGAAAATGTTTTTTCTGCTTTCTCTTACAAATGACCTACGGACACTGTAACTGTCAGTTAACAAGAAAAATTGGTGGACTAATCCGGGGAGCTTGAAGCCGTTCTGTTCCATGAATCCTTGCACATCTGCTGCACAGCTAGAGGAATTTAACCCAAAATTCAAAACTCGGCAACAGTGAGTTCTTCTTTGCTCCTCAGCTAGAGGAATTTAACCCAAAATTCAAAAGTCGGCAACAGTGAGTTCTTCTTTGCTCCTTGCCAAGTTCTTGCCATAGTGTACAGAGTTTCCCCCTAACCTAAATCCTTGTGACAAGGCTGGGAGATAAGTTAGGGAAACTGGTCCAAAGCCACTGGGCAAACTTAAGTACACAGTGGGAGGTCTGAACCTGGGTCAACCCAGTTCTAACTAAACGTTGTAACTGCTGTACAGTGGTGCCTCGCTTGATGTTAATTCGTTCCAGCGAAATCGCTGTAGAGCGAAAACATCGTAAAGCAAAATAAAAAAGCCCATTGAAATGCATTGAAAACCATTCAATGCGTTCCAATGGGCTGAAAACTCACCGTCCAACGAAGATCCTTCATAGGGGCAGCCATTTTCCATGCCTGTGCAGCGAGGAATCCGTCCATAAGCACAGCGGGGGGCCATTTTCTTCAGCCAGCAGCCATTTTGAAACCCGACGATCAGCTGTTTTTGATCGTCAGAAAGCGAAAATCGGTTCCCGAAGCAGGGAACCGATCGTCAGGAAGTGGAAAAACCCCATTCAAACCATCGTTTTGTGATCGTCGTGAAGCGGATTTGTCGTTAAACGGGGTAATCGTAAAGCGGGACATGATTGTACTGTCTTCTCAATGTGTTGGCACAACAGTAACTGACCCATGCAGGGCCGTTACAGACGTGGTGTTATTTCACCAGAGAAATATTTCGCCACCTGAAATAAAGGAGTTTTTCCCCCTCCCAGGACACTAACTAGACTTTTATCTGGCTCCATGGTTTAGGCACAGTATCTTGCTGCGGTGAGAGGTTGGGAATTCAATTCTCGTCTATGTCTTCGGCAAGTACAGCCAGCCTGGGTGGCCTTGGGCCAGCTGCACAGTCCCAGGGTGGCTCCAGGAGAAGGGAATGGTGAAACCACTTCTGAGTAATTCTCTACCTGGGACACCCTGAAAAAGGTTGCCATAAGTCAATTGAGTATGATTATTCTTAGCTAGACTTTTCTAATCCTCGAGGTCAGTAACTCACCCGCAGCATGTGCTCACTCTGGCAAACTCCCTTTGATCATGGAACCGGTGGTCCAACCCAACTTGCAAGTGGTTGTGAGACCAGGAGTGGACAAGGGAGGCTGACAAACCAAGGGAATGCTTATGGGGGGGGGTCACCCTTCCTCGATCGCATGGTGTATCACAGGATAACGGTCTAAACTGCTAATGGCTCAGAGTCTCGGGTACCATTAGGTGTTTGCTGAAACTGGCTGAGAAAAAAAATGGTTCTGGAGAGGAGGCACGGATGTGCAAGCTGCACGCAGCCATGCTGGTATCACTGCTAGCAGTCCAAGGTCCATATCTATGTGTATCTTTCTGCAAGTATATGTATGTCCGTATATGTGGGCCTTGATGCAACAGAGTGGCCATCAACTGTTCAGCGGACCAAACTTGCCTCTGACCGTTCCACCCACTGAGTGAAAAGTGATTGGAATGACGGAGAAATAAATAGAAGCAGAAAAATCTTTAGTTATTTCCTCCCACTGCATGTTTCTTCCCACCAAGTGAAAAGTGATAAATTTCTACTCTTCCCCATTCTTATCAATGATAGCTCATTTGCACTTAATGGTGACACATAATTATTACAGTCTTGGACATAGCCCACTAGCTACATCCCCCCTACAAGGCTCAAAGGGGTTCTCCCAGCAACCCCCTAGTAACCCCCAACCTTAAAAATATATACATTAAAAATAATTAAAGGGTTTTTGTTGTTCAAAACGTCTCCTTGATGCTTCACACACTTCCATTTTTTAAAAACTGCAACATACATTTGGCCACTGGGGGCACCAGAGGGCCTTTTCAAATTTAAAAAACTTTTTTGTAAGGAGAAAAAAATGGCCCATTCGAAGTGATGTCCCACCAGGCAGCTTTAATCTTTATTTTCTTAAAGGGACTCAGTCAGTTCAATCTGTTTCAATGATTCCGACTCAGTACACGTTAAATCCTTTTAGACCAAAGGACCCATTTTGCATTTGGGGCAGAAATGGACAAAGTGACTTTTTAGTCAAGAACTGACCGAGAATGCCAAGAATTTTAGTCCACCAATGATTCCCCGCTCCCCCACAACCCCGATTTTGGGGCACACATCTTAATATTTTGCCATACCTTTTATGGTGGCACTAGTGCTCTCATTTCTGCCCACCCTTGGTCAGTTTACACCTTGGCATTACATCTTGACCCACGGATTGGAAACCAATGCATTAGGAGAACATGCATTTAGGTGACCCTTTAAAACAGTTTCATTCACAAAATCCATTCTTCAGCAGTTCATCTTTTGGGAATTCCACCTCCAAAATATACAGATGAAAGACACTGATAAAAGTGGTTAAACTGCAGTACTGGAGTGAAGACTCCACTCATGACCTGAGTTCCATCCCAATGGGCTCAGGTAGCTGGCTCAAGGTTGTCTCAGCCTTCCAAGGTCAGAAAAGCAAGTACCCAGCTTGCTGGGAGGGGGGGGTAGCAATTGAGTAATCTGCTTAATTAAATTGTAAACTGTCCAGTGTTTTAAGTGCTATGGGGTAGTATATAAGTTGAAACAACAACAACGGCAACAATAACAACAACATATGAATGTAACAGTCCATGAATACAAGAGTAGAGCAGCAATATTAGATTTTTCCTCCCTCCGGTACTACAAGGGTGGAAAATCTTAATTTCTTCCCAGGAAGCAAGTGCAAATTCCACACCACAGTTTATTTCCTGGGCTCTATGGTGTCCGTGATGGTTGGTACACAAACTTCACAAGATTTAGGACCTTCCCTGTTTACCAGGAAGGATGTTTACTAGACCTTCCAGCTTGACTGCATCGCAACCAATATGGAATCAGATGGCAGTAGTCAGTGGTAAGGAGTCAAAGGAGCACAGAAACAGCATTAAGCCAATAAATACTGATTGGTCTAAGAAACAGGGTGTGTGCATGGACTCCAGAAGGCCGTGTTTCTTCAGCAGCACCTCACCCAATTGGAATGCGTCGGGACCAAACTCTGCCCCAGGCTATCATTCATTCTCCAGTTGTCATCGTTCGTTTGCGAGTACGTTGAAGACCTTTATTCAAAAGATCAACTCGGTGTAAACTTCTGAAACCACACATTTCATGATAGACTTGAAGGTTCAAGGCCACTCAGTGGAATCGTTATACTACTATGTCATGAAAAAGCCCCATCCGGAACCCCCACGGGGGTTTACTTAAGGGAGTTTTCTCACTGGCCATTCAGACCTAATCGTCCCATCTCGATGTTCTTGGTGACCACGTCCGCTTGAGACGTTCTCTCTGTTGATGCAACTATGCATCTTCTTCTTCTGCTCTTCTTGGTCCCTTGGGCAACCCATAAGATGCGGAGGGTTGATGGGTGAGCTGGGATCTCCAAAAACCAAGATGGAGGGTTCTTCCCAACCATAACTCCAAGAGAGACAGAGAGAGGAACGTACCAGAGATCTATTGTTTATATTCTCCTCCTTCCCTGAAGAAGCCGAGGTCTTCTCAAAGGGGTTGGAGTGGCAACCGGAGAGAGCTCATTAGTCTCTCCAGCATGCCAGACTGATCTCCGAGCAACGAGGGTCTCAACAGCCAAGAGAGGTTGCCTGAGAGTTGGCCCGAAACTGGAGCATCACTCACCCCCTTCCTTCGCTGAAGGGCAGAAGGAACAGCTTCTACGCTCTATCACTGTCCATCTTTCATGAATTGTGCTTCCATTTGGTACTGACTTTATCCAAGAGGTGCCTGGTGCTTTCCCGAAACTTGCGCTGGGTGAAGTAGAAGAGGATGGGATCCAGGACGCTGTTCATGCTAGCGAAAGGTCGGGTACATTTGTAAGTGATGGCAAAGGCTTGCTTGGTGAAGCAAGATGTTCCCGGTACGGAGCGGATGATCAGGTACATGGTCTTGGTCAGGTGGAAAGGGAAGAAGCTGACGGCGAAAACCAGGACGACGATGATGATCATCCGGACGGCCTTGTCTTTCTTCTTGCGGACCGCCAGGCCGATCATCTCGTCCTTCTGGCAGAGGATCTTGGTCATGCAACAGTAGCAGCCCAGGATAGAGATAAAGGGGATCAGGAAGCCCGTGATGGTCAAGGTGATGCCATACGGGAAGTAGTCGGCAGAGCGTTCCGGCGTGCTTAGGTCGTAGCAGACCGTCCTATTCCTCTGGATGCCCGTAGAGGCGAAGGTGAACGTGGGCAGACACTGGGCGGTGACCATGAACCACACCACCCCGCACACCCCCCAGGTGAACCCTTTCCCCCTCTTTTTGTGCCAGGTGGAGAGAGGGTGGCAGATCCCCAGGTAGCGCTGGACGCTGATGCAGGTCAGGAACAGAATGCTGCCGTGCAGGTTGGTGTAGAACTGGAAGCGCACCAAGCGGCAAGTGAAATCGCCGAAGGGCCAGTAGTCCTTCTGGGAATAGTTGTAGATGAGGAGGGGCAAAGAGCAGACGTACAGCAAGTCGGCCGCCGCCAGGTTGAGCATGTAGATGGTGGTGCGGGTCAGGGCTTTGTGGGAGAGCCAGATCTGGACGATGACAATGAAGTTCAAGGGCAGCCCCACCACGAAGACCAGGGAGTAGACCACAGGGAGCAGGATCTGCTTGAACTCTTCATGGTAGGTGCATGAAGCGGCCACAGTCAAGTTATCCATATCCCAAACTCCCGGCTGTGCTCGGCCTCAAACCCAGCGCCGTCCTCCAGAACCTGTGGATAAGAGGGTCAGCCATTAGCATTTTCTATCCGGGTCTCCATTCCACCCTTTCTGTTCATCTCGAACCCCATACCTGGCAAAGACTTTTTTATTTGTTCACGCAGGGAGGGATAAAGACAGTTGAGGTTTCACACGCATGTCCTAGACGCCTTAATTTTTTAAATTCTAATGAAGGCGTTGCGCTGACTTTGGAGAAATCCTGAATCTGGACTTGGATCAGCTATCCTGATTTGGGCTGATTCGGATGAAGTCCAGATCGAAGAGGAAGGGCCCGATTTGGATCCAGTGTGGAGTGAAGCAAATTTACAAATCAAAGTGTGTCTAGAGCACAAACTGAGCCCAGTTTACTTCAATGCCTCTCGTTCCTTTTTTTTCTAAAAATGCAAAATTTAAAGATATCTAGAAAGCCATGCCCTGAAGGCATCTTGTCTGAAATTTTGCAGGTTTAACCCCTTCTTTGGGGTCGTATTTCATGTTCAGATTTCATTTGCATCTGTCTAAAAGAAAAAAAAAGTTACAGCCGTTTTGGTCTTCCAGTGGAGAACAGGAGGTTTTACTAGTCAATTCAGATCTAAGACTCAAACCAAATAATTCCAGTTAAAACTGGGATATATTCCAAAGCTTCAGACTGGCCTTTTGATCACATAAGAGAATGTGTGTACAGCCTTAATTTATGATCAGTCAATTCAGATCTAAGACTCAAACCAAATAATTCCAGTTAAAACTGGGATATATTCCAAAGCTTCAGACTGGCCTTTAGATCACATCAGAGAATCTGTGTACAGCCCTAATTTATGATTATTCTAAGTGATTTTTTAAAAAAAGTTATACTTATGCTTTAATATCAGAACTCGTTAAAGTTCTTGTAAGTTCGTTTTTTACAAAGTTACAAGTTCAAAAACATCCGAGTAACAAAGGTTAAGAACCACTGCTCTAAGTGATGTTTTTTTAAAAAAAGTTATAAATACTTATGCTTTAATATCAGAACTTGGTAAAGTTCTTGTAAGTTCCTTTTTTATTTATTTTTTGCATTGTGTTGTGATCCATCTTGGCTCCTAGTTCTGGAGAAAGGCGGGAGATAAAAAAAGAATCATGGAATCTCAGTATAATGGAGTTGGAAGGGGCCCCCCCTCTAAGGCCGTCAAGTCCACTTTTCTCTTGAAGGTCTCCAGCATTGGGGTGGACACCAACTCCTGAGGTAATGGGTTCCTTTATCGTACTACTCTAACAGTTACAAAGTTGTTCCTGATATTCAGCTGAAATCTGGCTTTCTGTACCTTGAGCCCATTATTACGTGTCTTACACTCTGGGATGACCGAGAACAGATGCAGACCTAATATTGAGAACTGAAAGTATTACAAAAATGGCATGTGAAATGAAAGTAGTCCTATTCCAAACAGCTGAAGAAGCACCATATACTGTGTTTTCCATGTATAAGACGCCCCCATGAATAAGACACCCCCCCTTTTCTAATCCAAAATTAAGAAATCCGAGTGGGGCTTAGCAAGTGCAGGGGAAAAGGGATCAAAGCGCTGTAAGATCGCTTTGATCCCTGCTTTCCCCTCCACTTGTTTTTGTTCTCTCCTCAGCTTACTTCCGTGTATGAGACAACCCTCAGTTTTTAGTCTAAAGATTTTAGAAAAAAGTATAGTCTTATATACAGAAAAATACGATACTTCTTTCAAAGCAGTCCATCCATCCTCTGAGATCTGGATTCAGAAACATATTTAGGGTCCGTCGCCCTGGGAAGTTGGCTGGGGAATAAGAGGAGTGCCAGCCACAGTGAATTGGGATTCACTGCCTCAAGACCAGGGGACCTGTTTTTATATTTTGTTGCTTTTTAAAAAAAATTCCACTTTTAAAAAGGCAATAGTGATTTACCTGAGGTGGAGAGAGTCACTATTTAAGGACAAAATTTTAAAAAAATATTACCCCCAAATAAAATGAATAGATGAAGCTACATGTAAAACCAACATCAAGAACTATTTTAAAACATTTCAGTAAAGTGGTTCTGTTACTCTTTTCAAATTGATTTCTGGGGGAGCCGGAGATGGGATCAAAATCATCCTGAACAGAATAGTAAGGAATTCACAGCATCATGCCTTCGCTTCTCCCAGGTATGGGCAAACAAGGCTATTTCTCGGGCGGGTGTGTCTCACACCTCCATGGAATGAGCTTTCCAAGCTAAAAGGGGGAGAGAAAGGGTTTCTGTTTTTCCTGCTCCTGGGGGGCATGCAGGGGGGTTGCTGTTTTTGCATGGAGGCTTAGAACACACACACACACACACACACACACACCCCTCAAAATATGGCTATTTTCAGCCACTTCCAATGGTTCAACAAAGAAATGAAGCATTTATGCCAGAAATTCTGCTCCTAGAATGGAAAGACAATTCTCTGGTTCTTGTGCATCCGTGTCGGTGATACACCTTATTTGATCATTGCATATATAGGCATCCTTCAGTCTCGAGAGACTATGGTAACATGCTCTGAATCGAGGAGTGTCCTCTCCAGAGCATGAAGCCCAGGTAAAGTAATATGGAGGATAAGCTGTTACCCAAGCAGCAGATCCCCCCTCTCCACATTGCTGGAATGGCCCAATGGAAAGGCAAGAGCCAATACAACTGGTTCCAGCAATGTCGCAGGACTTGGCAAAACAACACGAGCTGCCTTCGTGACTCCAGCTCCGGATTTTGCCTCTAGGTTAACTCCTGAAGCCTTTTCCATGAGTGGATATAGCCACAAGGCAGTGGAGGTTTGGAATCAGAGTTTTCCTTCTCCTAGATGAGCTGGACTTTGCAACAACTTCAGAGAATAACCACATCCCAGAATTTCCAGGTAGCGGGACAGGATCATTGTCATATGCCTTACCACTCCAGTTCACTAGATAGACACAGAAATCCTGCGTCGACCAAAGACCCCCAAAGTTACATTTCTGGACACTTCGCATCCCTCAGGCAGTGTGGCCTATGGGGGAGCTCTCCTCCCACTCCCTCAAAATAATAACTGGTACTCGTGCAAAAAAGGGTAACTTTTCTAGTTTGGGCATTGCTATCCTGAAAAACAAGCTTTTGCAAGGTCTGGTCAAAATGACCGTGGACATAATTTCAAAGAGGCAAGTCATGTTAGGCTGCTCTGGTGTAACCAAAAGGAAGAAGGAAGTTTTATACCACTTAAGATGTAAGACACGACCAGATTTATTTAGCATTTATGTTGATGGATTACAATCCGCTGCCTTATTTTTCTATTTCTTTTAAATGGTTGAACTAAGATCCTTGCTCTTGAACAAACACTGAAATGGGGCAACTTGATTCAGGTAGAACGCAGGTTGTTGGCCACAAAATAGGGAATTTGGAAGAAACCTAATTAAATGTATTGCAGATGTTGAAGCTGGCAATGTCTATATTCGATTACTGAAAAAAATAAGTAGATGGTGAGCTTTTGATGGTAATCCATCTTCCTCAGGCTTTGTTCCAAAGTTTCATAGTTATTAATCCCAGGCAAAGCTTGCTGTCTGCTTAATTTTTGCAGTGGTTCAATCAAGGCATCACCTCTTTCTGCATTAAGACTGTGGTTTTGTTTTGTTTTTTAGGGACCACATGGCTTTTTACTAATTAAATGTGCTTCCATTTGGAAACACGCCTCCTGTTATTGTTTTTCCACACCAGTAGAGGGCAGGCTTGTGACATTGATGTTCAGTCCTGGAAGATGCAGGGAGACTCGGGGGAGAGACCCAGAGGCCAAAGGGAAAGCAGAGTGTGGTGTCGCTCAAAAGCTTGCCCATTCTCACAACTACATCAGGCTGTGGATCTACTAACAGTAGCCATAACCCTGTAAAATAGTTAGAAAAACGAAAACCAATAGTATTTTTTCTCTTTCAGAGATCAATGGAGAAAGATAAAGAACAGGGGTGTTGGAGTGTCAAGATTGTAAATGATGCCTTGTAAAACGATGCATAGGATGCATGACGGTATCTGTAAACTAAAACCTAGCTCATGTTGTTTCAAAATACTAAAACGTATCTGTAAAACCAGCAGATGATATTTACTGATGTGAGAAATGGGAACACGAGTAATACATTCCTTTATTAAATTGCAGAGGCTAACTTGCATACGTTTTCCAAAGACAAATCCAGATTAATCAAAACAAACCTTAAATGTATCTGTTTAAGTGGCAATTTGCCAGCCTTACACTTTGCAAAAATTGTGACTTGTTAGCCTAGCAAAACGAATACAAAATTTCTATAGCAAGATGCTGGAAGCAGGCACGAAGCTTAAGTAATGGAGTGAAACAGTGAAATTGGTTGACAGTTGACGATAAGAACTAATAAAAAGGAATATACTGTAAATAACAGCCTGGGAGTGCTAGCAAAAGGCAAGGGAATATATAGACGGGGCGGGGGGAGAGACTCTGGTGGAGGGCAGGTTTAAGAATTTATTTTGTAAAGCTATGCTGATGTGATTGTATTTTGCTTATGGTTTGATTTATCAGATTTATTGACTAATTCAAGAGAAAGTTCTTAACTTCATACATTTACAGCATCTCACCTTAATTAAGTGTCTGTCTGTCTATTTCTGATATATGGTGCTCAATCTTGTAAATATAAGTTTTGTAAGTAACAACACACATATTTTCTTGTGTGTGTTTGGAAACTTTACTTTTACTTTTATTGAATTTATACCCCGCCCCTCTAGACAAAGTCTTTGGTGAAGACAAAAATAAGTTCTACAGGGTGTTAACACTTTTTCCACTAAATCCTTGATTGTTGTGTACTATCAAGTTGGAACTCAATTGTAGAAACTCTAACAGGGCTCTTAAGGTAAGTGAGATATTTAAGGAGTAGTTTTACCCCTCCTGGGTGCAGAGCTCAGTGGTTAGATCTCTGGCTGCTGAGCCAGAGATTGGGGGTTTGATGCCCCTATTTGTGCCTCTCTAGAGAGAAGATCCAGCCTGGGTGGCCTTGGGCAAGCTGCACAGTAGTCACGGGACCCTGGGTGGCCTTGGGCAAGCTGCACGGCAGTCCCAGCGCCACCCCAGAAGAAGCAGGGAATGGGAAACCACTTCTGAGTCCTGGAAAACTCTCAAAAGGATCGGAATTGACTTGACAGCACGTGCCTATTGCATTATTATTTATCACTTCCATTCCCCCACTGAGTTTCCTTGGCTGAGCGAGGATTCGAATCCAGGTCTCCCGAGTCCTAGTCCATTGCCCTATCCCCGACACCACGCTGGGTCTCGCAAATTCTTGCTGGTGAAACATTTCATGTACTGATGAGGGAAGATGGGGGTAGATGGCCAGCGCAATAGAAGGCTGAGAGCTTCCCCATCGGTTCCCGGGACTGAGTCTCTGGGTCTTCACGTCGGAACTCACCTCCACCCGGAGAGGGCCAGGTTTGAACCTGGAACCTTCTGGGTGCAAAGCAGGTGACCCACCTCTGAGATGCAGCCCCTCCGAATACTCACCCTTAACAGGACCAAGCTTGGAGTTCTGGTGAAATGCAAGTTTCCTCAATCTGTGGATCTTGTTTAACTCCTCCTGCTGCTCTTCAAGCATTTTTAACACCCGCAGAGGCGTGCATGCGTGCATGCGCATGCGCACACCCCTTCCTGCCACTGACAGCATTGGGCTTTTGATACATCCATGGCTTGCTTCCTCCTTGTGTGGAAGTCGCACTATCAAGTGCCCTGGAGGAGGTGGGAGGGAGAGGGAGGGAGGACACGACCCGGCTTCTTCTTCAGTGCCCGACTGCCACCTCCTGCCACGGCCGCAAAAATGACACCATCCCCTCTGTGGTCATTCATCTCCTAAAGCACCGGTTCATTTGACACTTTTGGAAAGAAAAGGCAGCTGGCTCTACGCCTGCCCTTCAGCTTGAGCTGGTGAGCTGGCAAGACGCCAGGAACTGAATTTCCTGTTCCCTTAAACGTTCTGCTCTGGATCAATAGCTCAGAGGGTTAGTTATAGGGTTGGGAGTTCGATTCCCTCCACGGCACATCTCCTGGGAATAGAGCCAGCCTGTGTTGCCTTGGGCCAGCTGCACAGTAGTCCCAGAAGGGAGACGGTGATCTACTTCTGAGTACAGTGGTGCCTCGCTAGACGATGATAATCCGTTCCACTGAAATCTCTGTTTAGCGAAATCATTGTCTAGCGAAAAGCATTTCCCCATTGGAAGGCATTGAAACCTGTTTAATGCGTTCCAATGGGGAAGAATCGTCGTTGTCTAAGCGAAGATCGGCCATAGGAAAGCCGCTTTGCGAACTGCCGATCAGCTGCTTAAATCACTGTCTTGCGAAGCTTAGGTCCCGAAACCTCCTGTTTGCGAGCGCAGATGGAGCTGTCAAAATCGTCTAGCAAAAATCGGTTTGCGAAGCAGGGACCAAACATTGTCCAGCGAAATTCCCCCATAGGAATCACTGATTTGCGAATCACTATAGCGATCGCAAAAAGTCAATGTCTAGCGAAAAAACTGTCATGCAGGGTAACTGTCTAGCGAGGCACCACTGTACTCTCTACCTGGAAAACCCCGAAAAGGGTAATCATAAGTCAGAATTGACTTGACAGCCTCTGTTTAAGCTGGCTAGATAGCTTGGTGATTTATGTATCTGGCTTTGGAGTCAGAGGTTGGGAGTTCGATTCCCCCCACTGGTCCTCCTGATAGAAGAGCCAGCCTGGGTGGCCTTGGGCAAGCAACACGCAGCCCCAGGGCACCTCATAAGACCTCAAAGAAGATCATCGAAGCCCTACAAGATTCCTCGTCTCCAGCTGAAAGTGAGCAAAGAGCTCTCCGCCCCAGCAGGAGGTTGCTATACGTTGCATTAAATAACATTCTCTCGATTGTTGAAAAGAAAAACAGGCACAAAGCCACTAGAGGAGGGTTGGCTGACAGCTAAGGGAATGCCGACAACCCATTCAGGAGCTTCAAATGATAAAATAAGGAAGAAGTCGTCCTAACCTGTGACAAATTCACATAATTTGCGAACTGCAGAGTTTTGCACACATCTCAGGCAATTTTGTGCAGAAGTTGGGTTTTTGGGGGGGAGTTCTTTTGCATAACATGTCTGTTGAAGGTCCCAGGAAATTCTTGGCCACCCTCACCAGGAATCTGGCCATGAAATGACTGAGGGCTGGCCTCTTGAGCTACAGACAAGGTTTTTTTTTAAAAAAGGGTTCAAATTCGAACTAGTATGAAACCAATTTTAAAAAGTAAAGAGGGAGAACATATCACAAAGACGAAGATCATTCTCCTGGATCCCAATCCAGCTTAACCAAGCCTACGAGCTACTCACTACAGTTCTCTTTCAAGAGGTTCTAACAGCCCGCTGAGATCACGACGCGGGTCAAGGCAACGGACGGACAGACCACCTTCACACGCCAAGGCATCTCATGACTCCGAAGCAGAGAACGGCCTCTCTTGCCCACTCCCGGCGGGACCGTCCTCCGCCTGCCTTGAGGGACAAAAGGTAGCAAGACCCACTATGGAAGTGAGACAAAGAAGCTACGGAAGAGAGGATGCCAGCCACTGGCATGCCAAGCATGAAACCCAATGCGAGAGAGATAGGATCAGTAAATCTGGCCTGTCCAGATAACCACATCCTGCTGGCACAAAACCCAACAGCAGCCACAAGAAGCAGGAGCAAAAGGTGTGTGTGTGTGTGGGGGGGGGAATGAGACATCTCTCCAGGATGCAAGAAGAGGAAATCCAATATATTGTGATTTGATCAAATTCTCATTTGTAAACTGCCATGCATTATGGGGCAGTATACAAGCTAAATGCTGGCTCGGTGGTTTAGGTGTCTGGCTGTAAAGCCAGAGGGTTGGGAGTTCGATTCCCCCGCTGTGCCTCCTGATAGAAGAGCCAGCCTGGGTAGCCTTGGGCAAGCTGCACAGCCCCACAGCGCCCCTAGAGGAAGAGAAGGGTAACACACTTCTACCTGGAAGACCTCTGGAAGACCTCGGAAAGGGTCACCATAAGTCAGAATGGACTTGCCTACACATGATTATTGTATTATTATACGAGAGAGAGAAAGAGAGAGAGAAGAAGAAGAAGAATCTAACAGAGGGCTTTAGCAATGAGGGAGCTGAATAAAGAACATCTCTGTCTGCATGGAGCTTCCATTCTCAGGAGCACTGTACCCTTCTTTGAGCTTGCCCAGGAAGCAGGAGCGCCAGAGTGGTTGGAAAGGGCCATGCCACTGAGCCACAGACATCACTGGGTGACCCCGAGCCAGACTCTCGCTTTCTCCCTCTAAGCTGGACCTACTCTGCAGGGTTTTTCAACAGAACACAGCTGGGAGGAGAATAAACGGAAGCCACCATTAGCTAAATAAAGACGTCTCAGGAAAGGGCACCCAGGTTTTGGCCAGGAAACCACAGAAAGCTTTCTTGACCCATTTTCATTTTAAAAGAGAGAAGGAAGGCTAAAAACCTACGAGTCAGCAGAAAACGGGAGCCAAAGGAGAACAGAATCCCGACCCCCCCATTCAGTGTGTGTGATTTAAAAACACCCGTTGAAGGCACTGTGAGAGAGAGCTGATCGTGACTACAGGTTAAAACAAGCAGGCAGAGGAGGTTTAACCCCTTCCTCTTCTGCAGTGCTCCTGAACAGAGTCGAAGATGATGATGATGTTTCTATTCGGAATGAATGGCCCCTCTTGGGTCTAATTTCTCGCCAATGCAAATACTGTAGATGCTTTAGAGAGGAATAGAAATGTACTACTTCTCCCCAATGCAAATAGATGCTTTAGAGAGGAACAGTTTCCTCAATGTCATTTAATATTATTTGCATTTTTCACACACACACACACACACACACACACACACACAATTTCTAAAGATCAAAGGGAAACCATATATTTATTTTCAAAATTTTCAATAGTAATCATGGGCTATCAAGTCCATTCTGATATACAGTGTCCCTTTTCAGGGTTTTCCAGGTACAGCAGGCTCATAATTGGTTTCCCATCCCCTTCTTCTGGGGGCATCCCTGGGATCAATGTGCAGCTAGCCCAAGGCCACCCAGGCTGGCTGTTCTCCCAGGGAGGCCCAGTGGGGAATGGAACTCCCAATAACTGGCCATACCTTATCCAGCAAGCGATCCAGCCAGCTGTAGGTTACCATAAAAGCTGCCGGACAGCGCTGTGGAAACTAGGTTTCAAATCCAGCTCTCATGTTTACCTGCTAGCTTTCCCCATAGGAAACATCGCAATGCGATCACAAAATCCTCATCGCTATGCGGATTCATCGTTAAACGGGGCACTCGTTATGCTAGGCACCACTGTATTTGAATGACAGCCCTATACGTTATGTGAGGCACCACTGTACTTGAATGACAGCCCTTTAGAGGAAGAGCAGGATCTGTTCTCAATCATCCCAGGGTGCAGGACACACAACCATGGGCTCAAGTTACAGGAAGCCACATATCGGTTGAATATCAGGATAACTTTCTTAACTGTTAGCACAGTACGACAATGGAACCCACGACCTCGGGAGATCTTGAGTGCTCCAACGCCAGATCTGCTTGGATTTGGGATTCCTGCCTTGAACAAGAGGTTGGACTGGATGGCCTCAAGAGGCCCCTTCCAACTCAGTGATTCTACAGTTCCACAAAGGTGCAATCAGATGATGGTATAGCTTGCATTTTGCATCGCTTGCGGCACAATCCAGTTCCAGCTGTTTTCCAGCAACCAGACAATATACAGGAAACTGTGAACCAATTCTCAACCCAGATCTTTTTGGGCTGGAGGAATCACTATTTGGAGTAATTGGGATGGGGTGGCGCTGCAGGTTAAACCGCAGAAGCCTCTGTGCTGCAAGGTCAGAAGAACAGCCATTGTAAGATTGAATCCAGGCCACGGAGTGAGCCCCCGTTGCTCGTCCCAGCTCCTGCCAACCTAGCCGTTCGAAAGGATGTAAAAATACAAGTCAATACAGTGGTCCGGATTAACCTTCGCTATGGCGAAACATCGCTGAGCGGGATGGGAAAGCCCACTGGAACGCATTAAACATCGTTTAATGCGTTCAACTCAGTGATTCTACAGTTCCACAAAGGTGCAATCAGATGATGGTATAGCTTGCATTTTGCATCGCTTGCGGCACAATCCAGTTCCAGCTGTTTTCCAGCAACCAGACAATATACAGGAAACTGTGAACCAATTCTCAACCCAGATCTTTTTGGGCTGGAGGAATCACTATTTGGAGTAATTGGGATGGGGTGGCGCTGCAGGTTAAACCGCAGAAGCCTCTGTGCTTCGAGGTCAGAAGACCAGCCATCGTAAGATCAAATCCAGGCCACGGAGGGAGCTCCCGTCGCTTGTCCCAGCTCCCACTGACTTAGCCATTCGAAAGCATGTAAAAATACGAGTCAATAAACAGGTACCACCTCGGTGGGAAGGTTCCATGGAAACTGTCTTCGGACAAAAACGCTGGCTCTACGGCTTGGAGACGGGGATGAGCACCATGCCCTAGAGTCGGACACGACTGGACTAGATGTCAAGGGGAACCTTTACGTTTACCTTATCAGAACGGTCACTTTAAGCAAGACTGTTCCCAGCAGCTTGACCCTTCCCAGTTCAATCAAACACAATCCCTTGCTCACCACACTCATTATTATCTCTTTCTTTCTCTCCTACTTGCTTTAAAAATTAAATACTTAAAACAAGCAAGTTAACAAGGCATCACTGTGGTGAAGTGAAATCCTCAGGGGCCCAGGAGGTCACTTGGGGCTAGCTTTGTTTTGCGGCCAAGGGCTAACGATTCTGTAATTGCTTCATTATTTAAATCTGGCCATTATTCCCCTGAACCCCTGTGGGAGGAGACGGGTTTAAACTGGGCCAGGTTAATGCTCTGTAAGGCAGTTCAATCAAACACAATCCCTTGCTCACCACACTCATTATTATCTCTTTCTTTCTCTGCTACTTGATTTAAAAATCAAATACTTAAAACAAGCAAGTTAACAAGGCATCACTGTGGTGAAGTGAAATCTTCCGGGGCCCACGAGGCCACCTGGGGCTAGCTTTGTTTTGCAGCCAAGGGCTAACGATTCTGTAATTGCTTCATTATTTAAATCTGGCCATTATTCCCCTGAACCCCTGTGGGAGGAGACGGGCTTAAACTGGGCCAGTCTAATGCTCTGTAACACCTTAACTACTGTGTTTCCCTGAAAATAAGACAGGGTCTTATATTAATTTTTGCTCCAAAAACACATTAGGGCTTATTTTCAGGAGGTGTTTTATTTTTTTTTCCATGTACAACCATCTACATTTATTTAAATACAGTCATGTCATCTTCTGGTTGCTGCACAAGGGTGGAGGGCGGGGTTTCCCTGAACTGGGGCTTATTTTGGGGGGTAGGGCTTATATGACGAGCATCCTGAAAAAATCACACTAGGGCTTATTTTCAGGTTAGGTCTTATTTTCGGGGAAACAGGACAGTTTGGGCCTTGTGGACCTGCAGTGCACACCCACTCTGGATGACGGTTAAGAATGCAGTGAAGATATGCAAACCCTCTCTTTCTTATGGGAAATGGACACCTCAACACATCAAGGCACCCTGTTTAAAAAATAAAGAATGACTGCATCTCATACGCCTGTATGAGAGTGGATTAGCTCTTTTTTTCAGTGGCAACAACCTTTTTTTAAGAAGCAAGTTTTCCACAAACACCAGCAGATTAGCCCTTTTTTTCAGTGGCAACAACCTTTTTTTAACAAGCAAGTTTTCCACAAACACCTGCACACGCATGCACACACACACACACACATACACACACACACACACAAACCTTGTGCTTCGCACAAAACACAAGGTTTTCTATAAAAAATGCAGAGTTTCCTGGGCAAAATACAAAGTTTGCTGCACAAAGTCCAGTTTTTGTGTGTTTTTTTCAGTGGCAACAACCTTTTTTTAACAAGCAAGTTTTCCACAAACACCTGCACACGCATGCACACACACACACACACATACACACACACACACAC